CCCGCGCCCGCCCCCGCCCGGCCCGCCTCCCCGCGCAGGCTCCTCCCTCTGCCGACACCGGCCCCCTCCTCAAGGCCCGCACCCTCCGCGGCCCGCGCACAGGGCGGTCGCAGCCCGACGTCCTGGTCGCGCCCGGCCTCCACCTCTTACCCTGAGCCGCCGGGCTCCGAGAGCCGATACAGCCCCTGGCCGGGCACCCAAGCACGCTCGGGGCCCGGGCCATCGCCTTGCCGAGGTCAGGCCACCACCCGGAGGGGACTGCCCGTGAGGGGGGTGGGAGCCGCGCGTCGGCCGCCGCTCCCGGGAGAGGGACCCGGGCCGTGACGTCAACGCGTGGGCGTGGCCGCCCGCGTCCCCTCCCACGGCGGGCGGGACGAGGCCGACGTCACGGCCACGCAGGGCAGCCCGGGCCGAGCCGCGTCCACCGGTCCCTGCCCCTCAGGCTTTGCGGGCTAACCTGAAGGCACGCGAGGCAGACACTCCCTAGGCTGCTTGCAAGACGACAAAAATGCCGCGCGGCCTCTGGTCCCCTCATTTTAAGCGGGACACCCTGAGGCTAAAAAAGGGTTTCTCCAGCTCTAAATAGCTGGATGACATTCTGCGGGCTAGCACTGATGCTCCAGCATGTCCTGGGCTCCTAAATCCTCCCCTAGTCAAGGACACTTCACCGTACCCCACACATCCAGTCCTCAGGTGGGAAGAGGCAGGGGGTGCTGGGTTACAGATGCAGTACAGTGCTGGAAAGGAAGCTTCCCACCAATCCTAACCCCTCTCCAAAGAGAGCAGGCCATAAAGCAGAAGCAGTGAGCTTAATTGAATTCATGTTTAATAATTACAGGCACCGTGCCCCCCTTCCCCCTGCCCAGGCAGCAGCAGGGTGGTGCAGGGGCTGGGGCATATGCCCCCAGCAGCGAGGACGGCAGTCCCAAGAGTGATTTTCAGAAAATAAAAAAGGACCTCAGGGGTAGGCAGTAGTGCCCCCCCTCAAGACACACCAAATTTCAAGACTTTATATATAATATATCTCTGTGCCCCCAGGGGAGGGAAGAGGGACACCTGGCGGCATCTTGGAGGGGGCCCCAGGCAGCCCCAAGCCATCCTGCCTCTTCAGCCACTTTATTAGCTGGACACATCGCACTATAGGCACCCGCTGCCGCCGCCACTGCTGCTGCTGCCACCCCTGCAGTCCAGGCGGCTGGCCAGCCATCAGCGTCCAGGGGGCTCAAGCCCCAGCCCCACCCGCCCTCAGTTGTGGTCAGACTCCTCGTCCTCAGCCTCCCGAAGCCAGTTGAAGAAGGCTGTGACAGATTTAAGGGCCACACCCTTGCCCTGCTGCTCAGCGGGGTCCTTGCTGCTCTCCCAGCTGTAGAACGCTTCCTCCTTCACCACGTCCTCGTCATACAGCGCATCGAAGAACATTCGAAGCAGGTCTGCAAGCCATCAGGAAGCAGTCAGAGCAAAGTGGCTGCCCAGCCACACCGGGCCATCCCCAGGGACCTTCCTCACAGCTAGGCTGTTAAATGGGCTGACAGTTGTACCTGGCCATTTCCGAGCAACTCAGCCTCTGACGGTGCAAATCGACCGATCCAAGAGACTGGCAAGCAGAGGTGAGCCCCTTGGCCATCAATAATCTTACAAACTTGTCCAACTCACCTTCGCAGCTTCAAACTTCACTCACAATATATTTATTCAATGGGGGTTAACTACATAGTGCACCTAAATTTGGAGACTCACAGAAATCCCAGATGTATCACAACTGTGAAGAATATAACATGGAAAATGCACAAGCCCCTGAGAATCTAAATTCCTCTTTTTTCCACACCAGGAATTGAACTCAGGACTTCAGGCTTGCCAGGCAAACACTGTGCTGCCAAGCTACACCCCCAGCTGAAAAATCTGAATTCTTGACCCCTTCCCACTTCCTTCCCACACATCTGAACTCTCCCTTCTCTAGCCTTTGACACTTTTGAGGGTGCCAGAACATCCCTTCCTTTGTCAGCTTCCTGGTGAACTCCTCCAAGACCCAACTCAAGCACCACCTGCTTTACCCCCATCCCTAGGTGGCTGCCACTGTACAAGCCCTAGAATCGCTGAACAAAACAATCTCTCCCAGCCCCGCACTATGCTGTCAGAACTTCCAAACCAAAACTCAAAATTTTCTTAAACGTATTTGGTCGTTGCAGGGTCTCACTATGCCGCTCAGACTTGTGATTCTCCTGCTTTCAGCCGCCCCAGTGCTGGGATTACAGGCATGCACCACTACACCTGGACTCTGACCAGCTCAGCCCTACCTGTGGTGCTGGGGATTGAACCTCATCCCTGCATTTGCCTACGTATGTACTTTTAGGCTGCTAACCTATCTTGCTGGCCCCCAACCTCACAACCTTGAGGCAGATCATTGCGAGTAAAGCACAGAATCTCGGGCCCAGACCCCAGAAATCCTAGGCCAGTGGTGACAATCCCAACACCCTACAACACCCCACGAGTGCCACAGTGGGCTATTTGCATCACTGAAAGCTCTAGAAGGTTCACCATCCCTTCGAAAGGACCTAGGCCATCCAGAAGCTGCATGCTAGAATGTTCCTGAGACATTTCACCCCTACAGTCTCCAAACTGTGGACACAGCTGCCTCTCACCCTACCACCCCACAGCAGGGACAACAGCTGATCCTTCTTCTGGACCAGAACCTGAGCACATCCATGCAGGGGACCCCACGCAACTGATTATCCATTCTGCTCTAGATATTCAAGCCCAAGTTTATCTACACACAAAAGGCATCCTTCCAAACCCAAATCTCAAGACTTAAACAAAAGATTCTGTCTACACTTGCTTTCCTTTCCTCCCTGTCTCAACTCAGTATTACTTCTCAGGGCCTGCCCCCATCCCACTAAGTATTTCTGCCAGATGGCCTCCCCATTAATATTCCAGATCTACCCAACTCTGAGCACCTACCATGATCAGCCACTTTCCTACCCTAACATTTCTCTTTGTTGACAAGGCCTTGCCCTCCATAGTCTCTTCACGGATCCCCTTCAGCTCCAGGGGGATCCAGTGCCCATATTCCACAATCCCATGACCTGGGACTTACACATGTGCTCTGTGTGGCACTTCACAAAGCTACTTCCTGCCCTGACTTCGTCCCCAAACGGATCTAGATAACCAGCTGCCCACCTAACATCTGGGCCCCTACCCGAGACCACAAACTTATGTAGAACATGTTCCCAATCCCAACCAAGGGCTCACCCACTAAACTATCCTGCAAATCAGCTATGATTTTTTTGGGAGCAGGGGGTGTAATTTGGAGTCAAATCCAGAGCCTTGCACATGACAGGTCTACCACTGAGCTACACACCCCCAGCCCTTTTTTATTTCGAATAAAGTATCTTGCTGAATGGCCCAAACTGGCCTTGAACTTTCGATCCTCCTGCTTTAGCCTCCCAGAGTGCTGGGATTAGAGGCATGCCTACCTTCACCTGTGATTTTTAATCTCTCACAGCCCCTTTCCCCAGGTCAGTGTAGCTACAAGCTATTTCCTCAGTATTTCTTGAATATGCTCACTCCTCTTCCACTGTCACCAGAGAACGCGCTATCACTAGTGTCCATCTTGCCACTCACTCACACTGCTCCAAACCATTCTTATCAATATAGCCAATGGTCTAAATCCAATTCTTAGGCCCCATTAAAGAGCCTGCCATGGCCTCACTCCTAATTGGCACTGGGCTCTCTCATACCGGCCTGCCTCTAGCAGCTCCTTGTGCAACACTCCTGCCCCCTCAGAACCCGCCTTCCTACACAGGGTCCCCCTTCCCACTTAGCTAACTCCCACAAATCAGCTCTCAGACTCTCTTCCAACACCCATCACTCACATGGCCATTGCCTCCATGTGAGCTCATGGACTGTGCTCAGCTTCCTCACTGCGACTATTCCAGTGCCCCAACACGCAGGCTTTTAACCTAAGCCTCGTCTCCAGATGTGAAAACTGGATTAATACCATCCACCCTAAACAGCTGCAAGGATGCAAGGAGTCAAGGTAAACCATTCAGCCTTGTGCAAGGCAAGGGGGCAGGTATACAAAGTATTTGCAAGGTGCTATGTTTACCATCTCTGGACTGCGGCATGCAACTAGTGTTTAGGCACAAAGTAGTTACCTAACCTTCAAACCTGACATTAACTCTCTTCCATTTCCAAGCAAGGAAGCAAAGGGGGAAGGAATCAAACCACTAGGTTATTTTGCTCTCTACTGACTACCCATCTTTCCTGGATTGAACTCCTCCTCTGACCAACCCCTCCTGCCAGCCTCCCCCAGCCCCAGCCTGGCTTACTGGGGGGTTGCTCTAGCGTCACTACAAGAGCCTGGAGGGCATAGAGCGCTTGTAGCTCCTTCTGTTCATCACAAAGGTACTTCTGTAGCAGTCGAGCTCGAGCTTTCAGCACCGCAACATCCACTCGGAGAGGAGTCTCAACTACAGAATGGAAGACAGGCACGAGTGGCATAATGCAGCGTCAGCCTTTGGAGGCGAAGACTGAAACCCTTCCTTCCATTTCTGTGTTGGGCCCACCCTTGCCCCAGCTTCTCTTACAGATAATTGCAGAATAGCAGACGGCTGTCATGAGGGCTCGAACTAAAGTGTTAGATGCTGTCTGCTGCTCATTCAGATTGGCCTGTGTAGGAAAAACGACCCTAAGTCGCCATTCTCGCAATCCATGCCCCCCACCAAGAAACCCCTCTCCTCTACCTCTCCATGTTTCCAGGAGACACAAACCTCTATCCAGTCGAGCACTTGCTGATTGCTGCAGCCTTCCTGCACCAGCCTCTCCAGCTGCTTGCTCAGCTCCTCTACGGGCAGTGCCCTCTGCCCGGGGACGTCCGACTCCTCTCCCAGGGTATACTCCACGTTCTGCAATCAGGAAGGTCAGTCAAGGTCAGGTACCCCGCATGCAGATCAGGGAAGGAGTAAGACTTAAATGTTAGAAATAACCAGATTCCAGTCCCAAACCTGTTTAGCAACAAATGCATGAACATCTTGGCCTTCAGGTAGAAATTCCTTCCAGCTGAGCTCAGCCTCTCGCCATAGCATTCCCACCTTTTTGGGACCCTGGAAAACAGTTTCAACTCAGTAGCCATCTCTGTCCAACATCCAACATCTCCACAACAGTCATCCACCAAATACTTTAACTAGAAAGCCACCAGGGACCTATGATGAATGAACAGGTAACAAAAGTACCACACAGGCACAGCTCTTCTCAAATAAGCACCCAAATGAACAAGTCCTCACCACAGCAATGCTGACACTAGGTTGGGAATGATCTAAAGAGG